GGCACTGATGCCACATCCAGTCTCACCTTCAACACCTCCAGGGATGGAGAATCCACCCCCTCCCTGGGCAGCCCATTCCAATGGCTGAGCACCCTCTCTGGAAAGAATTTCTTCCTAAATCCAACCTAACCCTCCCCTGGCACAGCTTGAGACCGAGCCCTCTTGTCTTGCTGATCGTTGTCTGGGAAAAGAGACCAACCCCCCCCTGGCTCCCCCCTCCTGTCAGGGAGTTGCAGAGAGTCAGGAGGTCTCCCCTGAGCCTCCTCTTCTCCAGGCTGAGCCCCCCCAGCTCCCTCAGCCTCTCCTCACAGCACTTGTGCTCCAGTCCCTTCCCCAACCTCGTTGCCCTTCTCTGGACCTGCTCCAGCCCCTCAATGTCCTTCCTGAGCTGAGGGCCCAGAACTGGACACAGCACTCCAGGAGTGGCCTCACCAGCCCTGAGTCCAGGCCAAGAATCACTTCCCTGCTCCTGCTGCCACACTGTTCCTGATCCAGGCCAGGATCCATTGGCCTTCTTGGCCACCTGGACACACTCTGGCTCCTGTTCAGCTCCCTGTCCATCCCCACTCCCAGCTCCCTTCCTGCCTGGCTGCTCTCCAGCCCCTCTGGCCCAGCCTGGAGCTGCAGGGGGTTGTTGTGGTCAAAGGGCAGGACCCGGCCCTTGGCCAGGTTGAACCTCATCCCCTTGGAATCAGGCCATGGATCCAGCCTGTCCAGGTCCCTCTGCAGAGCCCTCCTGCCTTCCAGCTGATCCACACTCCCCCCAGCTTGGTGTCAGCTGCACATTTGCTGATGGTGAACTCAATTCCCTCATCTAAATCATCACTAAAGACATTAAACAGAACTGGGCCCAGCACTGATCCCTGGGGACACCACTGGTGACCAGATCCCAACTGGATGCAGCTCCATCCCCACCACTCTCTGGGCCCTGCCCTCCAGCCCGTCCCTAACCCAGCACAGGGTGCCCCTGGCCAAGCCTTTTCCAGGAGTGTCCCATGGGAGATGGTGTCCAAGGCTTTGCTGAAGTCCAGGCAGACACATCCACACCTTCCCCTCACCCACCAGGGGGGTCACCTGGGCATAAAAGGAGACCAGGTTGGTCAGACAGGACCTGCCCCTCCTAAACCCATCCTTCCCTCTCCCTGAGATCCTGGAGCTGTTCCTGGGCAGCTGGCAAGGCCCATTCCCACATGGCTGCTGAGCATCCCCTGGGCTCGGGCACAGGAGCTCTGCTGCCTGCCTGGACAGGGATCCACCAGGACCAACCCTGCCTCCTCCAGGGGAGAGCTCTGGGCTCTCCAGATTTTATCCTGTGCCTAATTGTTGCCATCTGCTGTTCCAGGCTCCGGGGGCTGCTCGGGCTGTCTGCTGGCTGTCGGTCTCTGGTTATCCCAGCCCCGCTGGATTTCCCTTCCATGTGGACTCATGGCTCATTTTCCTGGATGCTGCTCTCATTCCCTTCTGATCTGGGGCAGCTCTTTCCTTCCTGGCTTGCAACACTCATTTAACTCGATGTTACATTTACACCCTGGGAAATCTTTCCCATTTTTCATTGTGTTCATCATCTCTTAATAACCCCAACATTTCGGGAGGCCTCGTGCTGTGCTGCAGTTTTTCCCAGCACAGATTCTGTTACACTTTGAATGAAACAAGCAGGAGGAACCCTCCATACAGAGAGAGCCAAGAGCATTAAATGACCCAAACCCACCTCCCAGATGAGCTCATGACCCATCCACTACTCAGAAGCTGAAGAAGCAAATCCTTATGGTTAAATGAATCCTTAATGTCACTGTAACATCACCCAGGTCCTAAACCCCTCGGAGCCTTCCTGCTTTGTGTGCCTTGGGGGAGGGAATGTGTTTGGCAAAGCTGTGGTGTGGCTGTGGTGGGTGCCCCACTGTCCCCAGGCTCTGGCAGATGAAGTTTGGGGTGAGTGTGTTCTGCTCCCTGCCACCCCCAGCACCCCAGAGGGGACAATCCCAGCCTTGATCATGGATGTGCCCATGGAGGTGTCTGACCCCAAACTAAACCCTTGGTCCTTTTGGCTTCTCCGTCCCAGGGTGGTTCACAGCTTTCTCTGCCCTTTCAGCATCTTCCTTCCTTCCTCCAGGGCTTTGATATTCCTAAGGAGTTTGACCAGGGAACACACATCCCTACATGCCATGTCCTCCCTCCACCTCTCCCAGCACCTTCCACCACAGCCCATCTCTGGGAGGGATTAAGGTTTATTTCTGCCCTTCCCTCCTACATCCCATTAGGGGCATTAGAGCAGGAGCCAGCGGCCCCAAAGACCTTCCATGTGACTCCAGGAGCTTTTTCAGGCTGAGACCACGTTAAGGCCCCAGAAACTGCTCGTGCTTGGAGGGGCTCACTGGGTTTGTCCATCACTGTTTGCCCAGGTAGGGTCGGATTTGCCTGTGGGACCAGGTAGGGTTGGATTTCCCTTTGGGATCAGGGTGAGGTTGGATTTCCCTGTGGGACCAGGGTGAGGTTGGATTTCCCTGTGGGACCAGGTTGACTTGGATTTGCCTGTGGCACCGGGAGGACGCATTAGTGCCCAGCACAGGGCAGGTGTTGGCACTTGGGTCTTGTCCCCAGGGAGCCCAGGGAGGTGGGACAGCCTGAGGGGCTCCCTGGGACAGTGATGCTGCATCCCAGGAGTGCTCAGGATCCCCCAGCCCTGGGACAGTTCCCTCAGGGCTCCCAGCAGGAGGGTCCTGATCCCCTGTGCAGCTTTTCCGGGCAGGGTGAGCAGGAAGGACACGGGTGGGATCCAGCCTGGTCCTGGAGGGTGATTATTCCTGATTTTCCAGCACTGGAGCCACTGGGACTGCTGGGAAGGAGTCCAGCCTGCGGGGCTCCTGCCTCGCTGGGATGTGCAAAGAGTCGTGTGTGTGTGTGTGTGTGTGTGTGTGTGTGTGTGTGTGTGCACGTGTGTGTGTGTGTGTGTGTGTGTGTGTGCACGTGTGTGTGTGTGTACGTGCACGTGTGTGTGTGTGTACGTGCACGTGTGTGCACACGTGTGTGTGTGTATCCAGGCGTGTCCCTGTGTGCCTGCACGCTTGGCTTTATGTGTGTGTGTGAAGAAGGAATCAGGGAATCCTTTAGACTGGAAAAGCCCTCCAGGATCAGTGAGTCCCAGCGCTGCCAAGGCCACCCCTGCCCCCTGTCCCCAAGTGTGACATCCACACGTGTGTTAAATCCCTCTGGGGTTGGGGAGTCCAGCACTGCCCTGGGCAGCAACCACACCCATGTGCTACAATGCACCACACACGTACATATATGTTCCATGGGACACCACATGAGCACACACATGTGTGCCAGAGGGTGCCAAGCAATCACACACGTGTGCTACAACACACCACACATGTACATATATCCTGCGTACCTTCTCAGGAACCCTAACTGGTCTGCTCTGGCCTCCAGCCAGGAGGCCTGAAGACACATATATGTGCCATGGGACACCACCCAAGCGCACACGTGTGTACCAGAGGGTGCCAAGCACGCACATACATGTGCTACATGCCTGCACATGTGCCAGAGGCTGCCACACGAGCACAGTAATGTGTCAAGGGGTGTCATGCATTCACACACGTGCACACATGTGTGCCAGAGGATGCTGAGCAATCACACACATGTGTTACAATGCACCACATGTGTACATACGTGTGCCAAGGGACACCACACGTGCATATACATGTGTGCCAGGAGGTGCCAAGCGTGCACATATGTGTGGCAGGGGACACCATGCATGCACATACATGTACCAGGAGGTGCCACACATGCACATACGTGTGCCAGGGGACACCATGCACACACACTCGTGTCTCATACATGTGTTATAGTGCACCACACATGAACATACGTGTGCCTGGGGACACCATGCACGCACACTCGTGTCTCGGGAGTGCCAAGCAGGCACATACATGTGTTACAATGCACCACGTATGTACATACATGTCTTACAGGGCACCACACATGCACATACAGGTGCCAGTTTTGCCAAGCGTGCACATACATGTGCTATGGGACACCCCACATGCCATGTGTGTGCCAGAAGGTGCCACACATGCGCATATGTCTGCCAGGGGGCACCATGCACGCACACTCATGTCTCATACATGTGTGATAGTACACCACACATGCACATACATGTGCCAGGGGACACCATGAACGCACACTCATGTCTCATACGCATATTACAGTGCACCACACATGCACACACACGTGCCAGAGGGTGCCCAGCACCCACACACATGTGCCATGGGACACCACACGTGCACATACATGTGCCATGGGACACCACACATGCACATACATGTGCCAGAGGGCCCCCCATGCACAGCTGCAGCTGCACACACACGGACAGTCACACACAGCAGCCAGGCCAGGGTGGTACACGCAAACACACACATGTGCCAGTGCACACACATGTGGCTCCAGGGGGCTGTGGGTGGTGCAGGCGTGCAGGGAACATCCTGCCTTTGCCACAGCATAGCCACCTCTCCCAGGGCCACCAGCCCTGCCCCTGTCACCCCCAGCCCCTCTCTGTGCCTCGGTGTCCCCCCCAAGCAGGGTCCTACCCCACGTGACACAGCTGCCCTGGCATTAATCACCTCCAAGTGATTAATCACTTAATTACCTGCTGGGTTAATGGTTTATTCCTCCCCTCACACAGCCGGGTCACTGTCCCACTCCCTCGGCACCTGAGCCCAAGGACACCGAGGGGACCTGGGCTTGTCCTCCCCGTGATTCCCAGCGGGACACAGGTGGGTCCATGGAGCCACAGCAGGACGAGCTGTCACCACCACCAGTGTGGGGACAGCAGTGCCAGCACTGCCACCAGCAGCCGGCCTGGAGGGGGGATGGTCTGGGGGTCCCTGTGCCCTAGGAGTGGGTGAAGGGGGTCTGGGGAGGACGGAAGGAACCCCTGTCCTGTGCCACCCCTGTGTCACCCCCACCCATCACAGCAAAAGCCCGGAGTGTCTCCCAGAGCTGAGCAAACATCCCAGTGTGATCCCAGCAGCCTGGGCACCAGGGTGGCTCCACACCAGTGGGATTTACCCAATGCCAGGGGCTTCCCAGGAGAGCCCCCACCCACCCAGGGGACCCCAGAGTTGCTGCTGCCTACCCTGGGTCAATGAGGGCTGTTCTCCGAGGGACACGGTGGGGTCACTGCACTGGGGACACTGTGTCCTTGTCCTCTGGCAGTGCCCTCTCAGCCTCCCTCCATGTCCCACCTCCATGTCTCCATCCCTGCTCTCCATCCATCCTTCTCTCCTCCTGCCTTCCCACCAGGGACGAGGAATCCTTGACCATCAACAGCTCACCTTGGTGCAGCCACACAGGGCAGAGGGTGCTGGGTGCTGTGGGTGCTCCCCATGGGGACACAACCTGTCCCACCCCCAGGTCACTCCCCTCTCCCTCCTTCACCCCCCGTGGCCCCATTGCTGACCCCCTGCTCTGCCCCCCCAGGTTGGAGCCAGAGGGGACCCATCCAGGAGCAATCCCTGTGTCCCGTGGGGTCCCTCCCTAGGCCAGGGAGTGGAGCAGGACCCTGGGCACAGGGGACACGTGGCACCAGGCCAGGCTGGAGGGTGCCCGGTAAGGCGGCTGGGGACCCCCGGGGACCCCCTTCCTCCATGGTGGGGTGACCAGCAGAGACCAGAGCACCCAAAGGTGCCAGGGTGGGGATGTGGGAGTCCTGTGGGCAGGGTGGCCCCTGCCTTTGCCTTGTGGGGCCCACAGTGGGGGCAGAGGGGGTGCAGGGGCTCAGCCCTGCTCCCTGGGGCAGCAGAGCATCATGCCTGGATCAGAGCCAGGTCCTTTTCACTCTCCGTGCTCAGGGGGCTGAAGGGAGGACATGGAGAGGCTGGAGCAGGGCCAGAGAAGGGCAAGGAGGCTGGGGAAGGGACTGGAGCACAAGTGCTGTGAGGAGAGGCTGAGGGAGCTGGGGGGGCTCAGCCTGGAGAGGAGGAGGCTCAGGGGAGACCTCCTGACTCTGCAACTCCCTGACAGGAGGGGGGAGCTGGGGGGGGTCGGGCTCGGCTCCCAGGTGATTCTGTGATTCTGTGGAGGGCACAGCCTTGGGCTGTGCCAGGGGAGGTCTAGGTTGGACATTGGGAAGTTCTTCACAGAGAGAGGGATCAGCCATTGGAATGGGCTGCCCAGGGAGGGGGTGGAGTCCCCGTCCCTGGAGGTGTTGAAGGACAGACGGGAGGTGGCATCAGTGCCATGGGCTGGGTGACAAGGTGGGGTTGGGTCACAGGTTGGACTCGATGATCTCAGAGGTCTTTTCCAACCTGGCTGATTGTGTGATTCTGTGATTCTGTGATCTCTCTGCAGGGTTAACATGACCGAGGTGGAGCCTGTGCTGGACTTCGCATCCTCCGGGAGGACGGGCCGGCGCAATGCCCTGCCCGACATCCTGGGCTCGCCCGCCGGCGTCAGCCCCGCTGACCTGCCCCTCAAACTGGCTGAGATGTCCCTGAGTGCAGGTAGGCAACGAGGAGGAGGAGGAGGAGGAGCAGGAGGATGGAGAGTGACACTGGGCGGGCAGGAACTGGGATTCCCGTGCTCATCCGGTGTTCTGGCTCCTCACGACACTGAGGGGCTGGAGCATGTCCAGGGAAGGGAACGGAGCTGGGAAGGGGCTGGAGCAGCAGGAGCAGCTGAGGGAGCTGGGGGGGCTCAGCCTGGACAAAAGGAGGCTCAGGGGGGACCTTCTGGCTCTGCAACCCCCTGACAGGAGGGGGGAGCCGGGGGGGGTCGGGCTCTGCTCCCAGGGAACAAGGGACAGGAGGAGAGGGAACGGCCTCCAGCTGTGCCAGGGGAGGCTCAGGTTGGACATCAGCAGGAATTTCTCCATGGAAAGCATGATCAGGCATTGGCAGGGGCTGCCCAGGGAGGTTTGGAGTCCCCACCCCTGGAGGTGTCCCAGGAAGGCCTGGCCGTGGCATTCAGTGCTCTGGGCTGGGGGACAAGGTGGGCATCGGGCACAGGGGGGATCCATGGGCTGGGAGGGCTTTTCCAACCTCAAGATCCTGTGATTCTATTCTGTGATCCTGTTCTCTGACTTTATCCCACGACTCCATCCCCTCCTCTCTCCCCGCAGGCAGCCCCCAGGAGATGCAGTCGCCCTCGGCGGAGGTGCCCCCTCCGCAGCCGCCCAGCCCCGAGCTGAAGGACACGTCCTAACCCCGCCCCGGGGGGACTTTGCTGACCAGCGGAGGGAGGAGGGGGCTGCGGGGCACCAGCCCAGCTTTCCTGGCACGGCCGGAGTCCGCTGGGATTCCCTCGGTGCTGCCGCAGCCCAGACCCTGGAGTGCCACCCCCGCCACGGGGGAGCGGCGGGCGCGGTGGGGACGCGGTGGGGACCTGCCGTGACAAAGGGGCGATTCCCACCCACGCCCTGGGCCAGGACTCGGAGGGGGGAAT